CGATGAGCTTCGCGGTGGCGGCAGCGCTCAGGTCTGCAGATGCGTCGCCGAGAGAGGTGGAAGACGTGAAGGAGAAGAGGGGAAAATGAAAGGAGGGTTGTTTGACCCTATTTATAAGGAGAAGGGTAACAGGTGGGCGCAAAAAATGAGGAGGCCAAAGAATGATTATCCAACCGCTCAGATGCCTCGATTTTCGGGATGGTTATTAAAGATAAGGATCTGTTAAGATATATTGGGTATTGTGTAATATTAATGACAGGTGACGTCACGGCGGGTTACCACAATCGCAGGAGATGACGTCATGGCGGGTTATGAGACCTCGCATGAATAAAGAAGGAAAGATTTTTCTAAGTGTTGAAGGTTGACATGAACGAGTTCAAATCAATCAGGGGCCTAATGTTGGGGATATGACTATTGGGTATGACCTGCCCAGGAGGGGCCGGGTTATACCTATGGCAGTTCATCAATACAAAGCCCGTGAGGATGTCGAATATGGCGATTCATGAAGCAAGGGCCTAAAGCCCAAGGGCGACTTAGGGCCCATAGGGGTAAACCGCCATATGTGTATGACTTATATTGTAAGGCAAGTATATTTACTCATCGAGCCGGACACATTGTCTATGAGCCGGCCGGGACTCCGTGAGCCGCTGGGCGTCAACCTGTGTATATAAAGGGACGACCCGCCGGCGGTTCAGGGCAAGAAACAAGAGATCGAAAGCTAGGTCAAGCGTATTCGCTCTCTAGTAATTGAGACATAAGCAATACCACCTCAAATTGGATTAGGCCTTTACCTTCACCGCAAGGGGCCGAACCAGTATAAACTCTCTGTGTCCTTTGTCCCTTTAACCCCTTTAAGCTAACCTAGTTGCGATGGCTCCACGACTAAGTCCTCACACTAGGACATCTGCCATGACAATTCCACGACATGAGCTATGTGGCGGCGCCCATCTGGCAAATAAAGTTTTCTTGAGCCTCCCTATCTTGATGGAGTCGAGCGATGGCTTGATGGCTCGTTGGTGTAGATTTTAGCCAGGCTCTCTAGCCGGTTAGACTAGGGTTTGCCAAGTTTGTCTGGGTGGCAGCGGTGACTTAGACCATGTCTAGTAGAGCCCTTAAAGCCTTAAATAAACAGAAATAACCGTTTTTACGGGTTGAAATGAAAAAACGGCAAATAATAGAACCCATAAACCCCTAAACCCTTAAAAAAATTTATGGATTGGATTTGGGGTTGCCCTCCCAATCTGTCAAAGTGGGGATTGGAGAGGGAAACCCACCTCCAACCCGCACTCCACCAGTCGTTGCGCGGGAGGGAAATTTCCCCTCGCGCGCTCCCTCCCGTCGGACGCCGCTGGACTCCTCCGTCGCCCCGGCCGCCCCGCGGCGAGCCATGGAGGCGCCGCCGGACTCCTCCGTCGCCCCGGCCGCCCCGCCCGCGTCCTCCCTCCCTCTGACCGTCGCCCCGCCCCCGGCCTCGGCCTCGGCGACGCCTGCGCCGGCCCCGTCCTCGCTCCCTCCGTCCGCGCCGGAGGTGCCGTCGGTGGTGGCCGTCGACGCGAAGAGGCGGTGTGCTGGCCAGCACGTCGTCCTCCCCCAGCCCGCCCCTGCCGTCGCCTCCGTCGCCCCGGCTGCAGCGGCGCCGAAGGCGAAGCAGACCACCTCCAGGAAGAAGCCGACGCCCGCCCCGGCCGCCCCGCCCACCCCGGCCCCCGCACCTCCGCCCGTCGTGCACGAGGTGCTCGATGGAATGCCTGCCCCACCAACGTCGTTCATGGGGCTTCTCGAAGAAGCAGAGGTGGACATCGGGGCTCCTTCTCTCAAACCCTTTGGGTTTGGTTATTACTAGCAGGAAGAGGGTGATGAGGAGGAGGTGACCGAGATAGAGGAGGAGGCGTTCACCGCCGTTGCAAAACCCACCGTGCGCTCGGCAAACTATAGCGAGGACGAATATATTCTCTTGGTTCATGCTTGGGCACATGTGGGGTTGGATGCAAGCACCGGTACCGATCAAACCGGTAAACGCTATTGGCAACGCATAGAGGACGTCTATTGTAAGATCAAGCCGAAGACCGGTGGGTACATCCCTCGTAGTTACCGGTCGCTTCAAGGCCGGTGGGAGTTGATGAAGCCCCATTGTGCTCGTTGGAGTGCGGCAATGGACCAAGCGAAGGATGCACCGCCTAGTGGAATCGTGGAGAGTGACTATGTGAGTACATATATGTTTTTCACATTTATTTTGATTTTTTATGCTATTGTTATGTGAGTACATATATGTTTACTATGCTATTGGTGGGTTTGTAGGAGGCAATTGCCGACTTGAGGTACAAGGAGATGGCCGCTTCCAAGGGCAAAGCATTCCCATTTAAACATGTTTGGAAAATTCTTCAAACTTATGACAAGTGGAAGTTGAGGGATCAAGAGACCGCACCCAAGAAGTCGGCAATGCTTAGGATGGACGATAGTGAAGATGAGGGAAGGAACGAGCACAAGCCCGCTGGAAACAAGAAGGATAAGCTAAGGAAGAAGATGGAAGGAGAGGCGTCAAGCATAAGGGAGAAGATAGAACATATGATGAAGTCAAGGGAGGCATTGACAATGAAGACATTGGAGACAAAGCTTCTTATCAACGAGAAGAAAGAGGTGAAGCTTGCACAAGTTGAAGCAAGGCGTGAAGATGCCAAGCGCAAGGCCGACTTGGAGGAGAGGATGATCAGGGTCAAAGAAGCAAAGGCATGGAAAGAACTCATGGTGGAAGAGAAGGAGCACATGATGATGTCCAAGAAGGACATGGATGGAGACCAATTGATATGGCGGAAGGAGTACAAGCAGGACATCGCGGAGAGGAAGAGGATATTTCGTGGTGCGTCATCTACTCTTCGAGGTGACACTCCGATGAGTGGTGGTGGCGATGGCGGTGTGGAGGACTCCACCACCGACGACAATGGAGGTGCTTGATGGACGTGGAAGTGGTCTAGGAGATGGCGCCAGGTGCAACTTTTTGGTGATGGTGCCGATGAGAGGGGGAAGATGATGATTGTGTGATGTAAACTATTAAACCATGCATCAACGATCTTCATTTTCATGTTTGTTTGAAGGTTGATTGTGTTTTTCTAGTGAAAATTATGATATGTCAAATGACAGTTTTAAGGGTTGGGGTTGGGGCAAAGACTAGAACCCTCAAACCCAACCCTTATAACGGAATATTCTGTTATAAGGGTTGGGTTTGAGGGTTCTAGTCTTTGCCTCTGTTTTTCAACTCTTAAAAGTGTCAAAAATGGCCAATTCTCAACCCTTAAAACTGGTTTTAGATTTAAGGGTTTGAGGGCTCTACTAGATATGCTCTTACCTTTGCAGTTTCGTCAGTCAGCCTCTTCTTAGTCGTGTTGGTGCGCCGTTCGGCATAAAGCCCACTTAGACGGTTTTTCCAACAAGGCGTTGGTCCGGCACGAGGACCATGCCATTTCTAAGAATTCTTCAAGTTCAAACCCTCCCCACATTGGCATTTCTCTTAAAGGCATTTAAGGACCAGATCATCCTTGTTTGCATCATTCGGGATATTGCCTTGTTCACGGATCATAAAGACATTCATAACTTGCTGGCGATCAAAGCAACTACATAGCTTGGGTACTGCAGGAACGCAAAGAGATCAAAATTATTGTACGTTTCAGCTCAGGTTGCTCTGTTCCTGAGCATGTCCGCCCAGCGGTACGTTGAGGGCAGGACCTCGACGCCGTGGCAGGATGAAGCCCCTCCTACGGCTATAGCGTGTCACGGTACATGTGGTTTGGTCGCATTACCTGTACAGCCACAGCGTGTCGACCTTCACCTACGCTGCGGACTAGAGCGGCATGCCCTCCTCTCAAACGAGTACCTTACCCGCTGGAGACGCGGTTAAAGGTGCCGTCGAAGCAGAAGAAGGTGGGGATCGGGCGGCTCGCGCCAACGGCGATGCAGGTCGATTGTGAAGGGGGGCTGTCTAGGGAACTAGAGCTAAGATGGATGCCGAGGAAATGGTAATTGGAGCCGCAGTCAATCGCTCTCGACAGAAGAAACCTGCTATGCCTGACGTTCGGCAATCGTTCTGCACCAGGCTGATGAAGAAGAAATGCCTCAGGTGGATGCACATCACACGGCCTGGCCTTAAAATGTCGCCGCTTCAGCTATGTAATGCATGGCTCAAGTCGAATCATGTAGAGAGCCTATCTCTTGTTTTGTGTTTGACCCGAGCTGATGTAAGACTGAACGCCGTGGTTTCTTTTCTTGATGCAAAATGGAGCCAGGGAGCGATTCCCATTATCATCAACATGATTTCCTAGCGTACAGGGCTTGGGATCTAGCTCTCGCACAACGTGGCAACTGTACTCTCTATGGCCAGCTTGAGGCCTGAGACTGCATTTACAACATTATGAAGACACAAACGATAGTCTCATGTGAACAATCTGCATCAATTTCAAAACACGCAAAAACGGGTGCACTCACAACCATCCGTCAATTTCAGAAAACCAGACTATGCAAACCAGCTAGGCCTTTATCATGCGAAAAGGAGGCAACCAAGGTTTTACATGCCACAAAGCCAGACTAGTCATGAGCAGTTCCGTAACAGAAAGCGATTAGTCTGATTTTACATGACACAAAGCCAGGCTAGCCATCCAGGTTCACAAGCTGGAGCGAATATCTCAACCAAGCTGTTCCCTGAATAATTACAGAAAGCAAAATGTAAAAGAACAAAATATTCTTCCTAACTTGGACTATAAAGTCTTCGGTATATTATGAAATTACAATTAATGCAACTCTCAGAATCAAGACAAAGTGAGTTGTTAGGAAATTTTCAAGATTGTTCTTATAACTAATCACAGAGAGTGATAAAGTAGGCCAAATTAAGGTAGTTAACAACTCCATTTTTGAAGAGAAAAAACAACAAAGATAATGTAAATCTGTAAGCTGAAATCTATCTTCAAGAATAAAGAAGACCAACATCATTGTATCTTCTTGATGAAATTATCTTAACGCAGAGGAACTATACTTTCAACAAACGTATGAATGCTGAAAGGAAACTCAGATTCTGGACAGGCAATCTCCAATTCCCCAGAGTTTGAATTTGGATCATAGCAATATAAGTTCCGAGCAAACAACTGCACCCAAATTTTGGAATCATGAAAAAGTGTGTGTCTTGGAGTGAAATAACATGATTGCATCAACGGAGGCAAAGATATGTGGTATCTATGAGTCCAACTCTGCTTATCATCGTTATCGAGCATTAATATGTCCATTGTACGAGGTATACCTTCAAGCGCACCATCCACAACTAATAAACATAGTTTTCCCTCGAGCTCGGACAAAGAACAGTGCCCTCCATAGGTCTTGCGTGGAGGAAGCATCAAGACATCAAACTTTTCACTTTGAAGATTCAAACAATTGATACGTGATGAAGAGATATAACGGAACCTTGTCAAATAATACACCGAACCATTCACATGTATACCTCTATCAATTGGTGCCCCACGGAGAGTCCCAATTTGTCTCCAGTCTCTATCTCCAATTGTGTATATCTCGCAGAGCACCTCGAGAGAACCAGCATGAGCTCCCGGATAAAAGTGCGCAATTTTGTGTTGCTTAGTTGACGGGCAAAACCCCAAGCAGTGCCAGTTGCATGATGAGAATTGGCTGCTTCCTGCAGTGTACATTGGCTTCGGCAACACAACAGATTCACCGGTTGTCGGGTTGAGCAACTCCACTGCTCCTTTACTGTCACCTAGGCAGAGCAGGCCGTTGCAAGAGTTGTGCACAAACAGGCTCTGAGCAACCAAGGGCCTAGACAGCTGGTACATGTATCCATTGGCGTCTGCGAGCACCATGGCAAGAGACCTATCATTTGCTCTGTCATTTGCAAAGAGCAGCAACTTCTGCTGGCTTCGGTTCAGGTGCTCGTGAAGAAAATGCACATCGGAAAGCAATGACATCCAGTATTTGCATACCATCCTGCAAGAAGCGAGCGTGCGGGCAGGCAGCTTGTGGAAGACCTCGGTGAGCGCATCACTGCAGAGCAGCCGAGCATTCCCCTCCACCACCTTTGCTTTCTTCCCTCCCATCAAAGTCTTGCTAGGCGAGGACATGCTCACTGGAGATCAATCACTACTGATCAGGCTAGAGCAAAATCGATCTGCCCTGGTTGCTACAAATTGATGAAACAATCACAAATATCAACACAAGGAACGCAACAATTACAGCAATCTGCAAACCCCATTAGCTTTACATACCTCCATGATCCAGCCCGGACTAGCCACGTCCACGCAGGGTTCAACTTCTAGTTCTTGAAACCAAGAAACAAGCGCCCAATCTCAGCACGACGATGTCCACCAAACAGGACTCACCAGCAGATGCGGAGGCTGCATTGAGGCTTCCAGGAAGGACCTCTCACACCACCTGCCGCCCGGAGGTTTCAATTACGCCCCAAGGAACTCGCACCACATGGTAGGTAGGTGGCGGCGAGCTGTCGAGTTCTTGTAGACTGAAGAGGCCAACGAACCAAACCTACCGGCCGAACCAAAACAACCAATCAGTCAATCAAACCAACGAACCACCGCGCCGAATCGGGCGGCTAAGGAAACAACGAGATGGCGGGAAACGGACGGGGTACCTCTACGGTACGAACGAAGGAGGCCCTCGATCGGGAGCGGAGGGCCGCGACTGTGGCCTCGCCGACGACGGCGGCGGCGAGCCGGCGACTTTTCTCTCTTCTCCGCCCGCCCCTTCCTCTTCGTCGGTTGCTTTCGTCCTTGTTTAATTTTGGAGGACAGAGCAGGGGGGATGGATGTATATGATGCTTTGCCTCGGTCGCTGCCGTCTCGTGCGTGTCGACTCGACGAGGCGTGACCGGCTGGATCCGCTACGCGGCGCGAATCTCGACGGATAAGAGGGGGTGCCAGGGCGGCGGGGCCGTTGAGAGTTGAGGCGCGGAGTGGACGGACGGGGGTGGGTGTGGAGCCGCAGTGGCCCAGACGTTTCGGGCCTTCGCTCTCCGAGTCGCAATCATGGCGACGCCGACGGCGACCGCCGTTAGCATGGGACACTTTTTCCTTTTAGCATTGGACAGTGAATAAATCCATGAGCTCATAGTAATGTCAAAACGATTTGCAATCTTCTTTTTATATGGAATGTGAGGGATACAGTAGTAGGTAATCGACCTAGTGCAGTTCTTTGAAGTAGTAGCTGTTACAAGGTGGATTACAGGAGCGAAAGCTCTCGAATGGTGAAGAACAGAGGTAGGGGGAAACAGGGCCGGTAGCCGCCACCGAGCCTTCGTTGATCCTCTGGATGCCCTTCCCCTTGGGTGTCGCTTGGGTTAAGTACTGACACTGGCTTGGGCCACCCAGTCTGGCCCGAGCACTCTTGGGTTGGCCCGGCACGCATGAGTGGGGCTAGTCGCGCCTGTCTCTGGGACCGGGTCCTGAGTGGCCCTGACATCTCCCTCTACTTGGCTTGAGGCTTGCCCCTAAGCCTCTGCATTGGGAAAGCGATCTTTTGCAGTGCGAGCTTGTCCTCCCAGGTGTCCCTTAAAGTTGCGTTGTTCAACCACTTCACTCTTACTTCCTCGATCATCGCCCCACTGCTCTTGTGCCATCTTGTTTGCAAGATCTTGACAGGTACAGCAAGTTCATCAGAGCAAATTGAAAGTTCAGAGCTATCTGGCGTACCAAGGAGCACTGCATCGCGGAGTTGCAAGACATGAAAAACACGGGGGGCACAGTTGCTTGCGGAGGTAGCTACAGTTTGTAGGCGACGTCGTTGATGCGTTCCAGGAAGGGGAATGGCCCGAAGAACTTGAAGGCCAGCTTGTGATTCGCGCGTGGTGCCACCGATGTCTATATGTAGGGTTGGGGCTTGAGAAAGACCATGTCACCCACTGTGAACTAACAAAATGAATGCTTCTTGCCAGCTTGTGTCTTCATCAGTTGTTGTGCTATGTTCAAATGTTGCTGAAGCAGATCTTGTATCACTGTTCTTTCCTCCAACCAAGATTGTAGGGAGGGAACTGAGCAGGCGGTCGATGCTGTAATCCCCCAGTGCCTTGGGTCCCTGCCAAACATGACCTTGAAAGGTGACATCCCAATGGCAGTGTGATGAGGTGTGTTGTACCAGTATTGAGCTAGCGGCAGCCAGAAGCTCCATTTCCTGGGACACGCCTGAGTAAAGCAGCGGAGGAAGGTCTACAAGCACTGGTTGACGCACTCAGTTTGACCATCCATCTGTGGGTGGTTCACCGTGCTCATCCTCAATTATGTCCCTGCATAATGGAAAAGCCCTTGCCAAAACTTGCTTGTAAAGACCGGGTTGTGGTCTGACACAATAGCCCCTGGCAGACCATGAACGGTGTATATATGTGCCATGTACAGGTGGGCCACTTTTGCTGCCGTGTAGGGATGTGCCAATGGTAGGAAGAGTAAGCAAATTTGGTATGCTTATCCACGGTTACACACACACACAATTGAAACGTCCAGACTGTGGTAGACCATCAATAAAATCCGTAGTAATCATATCCCAGGATACTTGTGGTATAGGAAGTGGCAGCAGCAATCCTGGGGAGGCTGACCTGTCTGGCTTCGCCTGCTGACAAGTTTGGCAACACTGATGTAGGATCAAAAGTAGGTCTAGAGGAGGGATTAGACTACTTGACCAAATAAAAATCTAGCATTTTCCCAATTTTAAGTGTTGACAGATTTTAGCAACTAGTACAAGTCAAGCAATCAACATACACATGCAATTCTAAGAGTGTAGCTGCGAAAAGTAAAACATTGCATATGAGGGTAAAGGGAAGGGTTTGGAGAAGGCAAACGCAATATAGACACAGAGATTTTTGGCGTGGTTCCGATAGGTGGTGCTATCGTACATCCACGTTGATGGAGACTTCAACCCACGAAGGGTAACGGTTGCGCGAGTCCACGGAGGGATCCACCCACGAAGGGTCCATGAAGAATCAACCCTGTCTATCCCACCATGGTCATACCCCACGAAGGACTTACCTCACTCGGGTAGATCTTCACGAACTAGGCGATCTCCTTGCCCTTACAAACTTCTTGGTTCAACTCCACAATCTTGTCGGAGGCTCCCAAGAGATACCTAAGCAATCTAGGAGACACCACTCTTCAAAACGTAATAGTTGGTGTGTTGATAATGAACTCCTTGCTCTTGTGCTTCAAATGATAGTCTCCCCAACACTTAACTCTCTCACACACAGATTTAGATGTGGTGGAAAGAAAATTTGAGTGGAAAGCAACTTTGGGAAGGCTAGAGATCAAGATTCTTGTGGTTGAATTGGAATGTGTTGGTTTCAACACATGAGTAGGTGGTTCTCTCTCAGAAAATGAGTAGTGGAAGTGTAGGCACGTTCTGATGGCTTTCTCGCAAATGGTGAAGGGGTGGAGGGGTATATATAGCCTCCACACAAAATCCAACTGTTACACACATTTGATCCAACTCGGTCATACCGAATAGAAGAACTCGGTGAGACCGATTTAGTTCAAGATGTGAACGTCAGGAATCTCGGTGGGACCGACGGGAGCAACTCGGTGGGACCAATGTGCTAGGGTTAGGGCAAAACCCCATCTCGGTGAGACCGATTGCATGAACCCGGTGAGACCGATTTCAGCAAAGAGCAAACAGAGAGTTGGTCAAGCAAACTCGGTGAGACCGATTTCAGCAAAGAGCAAACAGAGAGTTGGTCAAGCAAACTCGGTGGGACCAATTGCACATTTCGGTGAGACCAAAATAATTACAACAGGCAACAGAGAGTTTGCAAGGCCATCTCGGTGAGACCGAGGTCCGTATCGGTGTGACTGAATTGTCTAGGGTTTTTGGCAGTGGTTATGTCAACTGAACTGGTGGCGCCGGATGGATCAAATCGGAGGGGGCGAGTTTGACTTTGAGTTTTAGACAAATGTGGAAATGAGAAAGTGGCTGCGGGTTTTGGAGAAATATCAATGAGTTTTAGACACCTCGTCCCCTTTTAATAGTATTGGTTTTTCTATGGACTCAATTTGATCTTGGATCACTAAAATGAAAATGAAGAGTCTCGAGCTTTTGCCAATCTTTGTCCTTAGCATTTTGAGGGATCCACATCTCTAGTCCATGCCATGCCAATCATTGAACTTGCTGAAATATTTAACTTGAAAGGATATTAGTTGAATGAGCTATATGTTGTTATGAATTACCAAAACCACTCAGGGATTAGTTGCACTTTAAATCTCCCCCTTTTTGGTAATTGATGACAACATATAGATCAAAGCTTCCACAAATGATAATATGAATGAAATACATCGTCCCTTTGAGAAGTACTCCCTCCGTCCCAAAATAAGTGTCTCAATCTTAGTACAACTTTGTACTAGAGTTAGTACAAAGTTGAGACACTTATTTTGGGATAGAGGGAGTATGTGATAAGCAAGAGCTCCCCCTAAATTTGTGCATTATTTAAAATTTGCTTTTGAATGCAAATGCACAATTGATTAGGATCATGGGTCACTCTTCCATGTCACATACATCTTGGTGGAGCGCTCAAAATGATAAGAGTTAAATAACATGCACTCATCACCAAGGGCAAACATGACTGATCATACACAAATATAATAGACATCATCATGCAAGCACATATTAAGGCATAGTATGATCAAACACATGATCACAAGAGTATCTCACGAGCATAACACAAATTGTAGCATAGTAATCAAACAAGCAAATGAGCAAAGTAGCAAGAGTAGCAAATGAAACCAACAAAAGGCAAAACACACACACTCTCTCTCTCTCAGCCTAATGATCTATACACTTCCCCCCTTTGGTAACAAGCTACCAAAAAGCTTGAAAATGCATAGTGCTATGCGGCACTCTAGGCATGATCTACGGGAGCTCCTGAAGGGGTCTTTTGGTTGGTTGCTCCGGTGTGCGTAGATGGCGTGGAGAGGTGGGCATCTGCAATGCTTCAGCAGATGTCTGTGTGGAGCTGGAGAATTTGAAACTGGAGATGCAATCGTGGCAGTTGCTGTAGGTGCTGAAATAGAAGTCCTGATGTCGCTGACAACTGGCATTGTTGAAGATCTTTGTGCCCTTGGCACTCTCTGGAAAG